TTATCAATCTCAAAAGGTATATCAACTTGCCCTTGAATACTAATTTGGTTGCCTGTAACCGACCTTAATGGATTATAAGGACTTGTGGTCAGCGGAAATTCGTTCAACTCTGGAACATTATTGTAAACTTGTATATCAATAACTGTATTTGTTGCACCCGTATCGCAAAGAAATATATATGACTTATTAAAAATTTTGCCCTGGACTGACAAATTCTTTGTAACATCTGTAAAATTTATTGCATTAATTGCATTTTCCTTATTTTCATTAAAACTTTCACCAGCAGGTACTTCTGCTGTCTTTTGTAAACTTAAATTATTATCTGGAACTTCATCAGATGTCAAGAATAAACTAACATTGGGCGCTTCAATTTCATTGACTTTTTCTGTTTCGACAAGAACTTCAACATGTGGGCAACTATCCGATACTATCAACAAGGGYYGTTTGGGGSTGTTTAAAAGCTTATGTTGATCACAGTCATCAAAAATATTAAGCTCAATAGCTTGAAGAAAATTATCCTCAACGGAATCAACYTCAGTAACTTTATGTGATTCAATTTTATCATCTTCGACTATACTAGGACTATGTTGTTCGCCTGTCTCCTTAGCAGACAATGTATCATTATGATTATACGTCAAGGGATCATCATGTATAACGTCACTAGGCGCGTGTGGCAAGACTTGCTGAGCAGGTGTAGAAGAATGTAATGTCGCGTGTATGATGTCGCGATCACAAAAAGAAGCACCATACATAAGAGAAGAACTCTGAAAAGATGTAGGCGCGTAAAAACTAGAAGGAGGCATTACAGCAGAAGTCGAAAGGAACATCTGATTGTATGGCACAAAAGGCTGGTGTGTGACGACAGTACTGTCCTTCCGATTTTCCTGACTCGCAATTTCAACCATTGCACACGGTTGGACCACATTATGACTATCAAGTTGATGCAAGAAGTCATTACTAGGCAAAAAATCATACTCCTGACTAGTAGCGTCAGTAACTTGACTATCAAAATCWGAAATATAACTACCAGACTCATATTGAAATAAATTAAGTGCAGGGTCTTGGTGCGCCACAGAGAAAAAGTGCGTAGGAGGAAAATTGACGTCATGCAAAGGCGATGAAACACTATGATGACCCTGACTTGGCTGATTTTGCCATTGAAAAGAATCCGACACATTGTCCGGAACATTAGAGGCCAAATTTGGAGAGAAAACTGACCTTTCATCAAAAACATCAAAACTACAAGTGTTAACGGCATTACTAAAATCACTCGARCTAATTGRATTACATGATGTATCATCAAAATCAATGGTAGAATAATCAAAAGTATCATATGTACATAGGGTATTTAAATTTGGGTCAAGGGCAGTCYCACGGARCTCTCCATATCCGTGAGACTGGATTAGTTTCCCTGCTGCTGGGGAGGRGTTGAAAATTGCTGTTGKGGTTGTGAGGGACRAGGATAATACTGTTGGGRGGGAGGAGGGGGGTTAGMAAAAGCTTGTGGGGGRCCTGGAGGAGAATAATTTTGCTGAGGGGCAGGATTTGCATAATATTGAGAGTTTGGCGATTGGAAAACTTGAGGGGGCCCTGGAGGGCGAGGATTACGTGGCGTATTCTGACAATTACGGGCTACGTGACCGATTTGTCKACARAKACGACAAATCGGRTTACCTGAAACCGTACGATAATCATTATTGCCAAAAGACCCACGCGCATTATAACGTGGTCGATAATTTGGATTAAAATTTCGAGAGGATTGATTTTGCTGTTGACGATTACCGTTTTGTGGACGAAGATTATAATTATCAAGTTCTTGCCTAATAACTTGACGTAGTTCCCTAGTRTCAAAGGTCTTAGAAGTAGAATTAGGTTTCTGATCAAAAACTGCGACAGACTTAGACTGTTCTAACGTCGCTAATTTTTTCTGAGCCGCCGTTAATTGTGAGAGAAATTCTTTTTGCAGACTTTGAACGTCCGAAAGAGAAAATGAAGGTGATGAAGAAACTAAACTTTTTAATTTAGCCAATTCTTCGGCTTGCGCTAATGTATCTGGTTTATTTAAAATAACATGGGACTGTATATCGGGCAGTAAACCAGTAACAAAGAAATGTAGCATCTCTTCATCATCAGTTATACCTAAGCGTTGACATCGTCTACGAATGTCAGTTACAAAACTATCAACCGATTCAGAAGGGAGTTGTTTTCGTTGCGTGAGTTTTTGTCTAAGAAGAAAATTATCCGAAGACGATAAAAAGCGGTCTTTAAACAATTG